TTGATGATCATGATGCCTCGTAATTTCTCGACAAAGTATGGTAGAACAATGAAAATGGTACCACATGGAAGTGTATACATTTATCTTCACTTTGAGACTAAAATTATTAACTAACTAATTTATTGTTCTTTTATTGCAAGGTACATTTGTCTTTGTCAGATCTACGCATCATACAGTTACATCTGGTGGCTTGTGAAAGTGTCATTGCCTAACATTTCCAAAGAACAGTTGCTTGATATTTTGACAAAAAACTGGCAGAAAGTGGTGATCAATGATTCATAACCTGAATGGTCTGAGGTTGTTAGTGGTGTCCCCCAAGGTTCAGTGTTGGGCCCCTTACTGTTCAATCTATTTATAAATTACATAGAGTTGGGGATTAAAAGTACTATTTCTGTGTTTGCAGATTACACCAAGTTATGTAGTGGAATACAGTCCTTACAGGATGTCTCCAACTTACAAGCAGATCTGAATGCACTGTGTGATTGAGCATCTATTTGGCAAATTAGGTTTAATGTTGATAAATGTAAAGTTATGCACCTGGGGACTAAAAACATGCATGCTTCATACACTCTAGGGGAGTATGTTTGGGGTAGTCAAAGAGAAGGATCTGGATGTTCTGGTAGATCATAGACTGAATAATAGCATGCAATGTCAACCAGCAGTTTCTAAAGCAAGCAAAATACTTTCTTGTATTAAAAGAGGTATAGATTCCAGAGATAGAGACATAATCCTGCCCCTGTACAAAGCATTAGTAAGACCTCATCTGTAATGTGCAGTTCAGTTTTGGGCACCAGTTCACAAAAAGTATGTTGTGGAACTGGAGAAAGTGCAGTGAAGGGCAACTAAACTCATAAGAGGCATGGAGGAGCTCAGCTATGAGGAAAGATGAACTGACCTGAATTTGTTCTCTCTGGAGAAGAGGCGATTAAGGGCGGACATGATCACCATGTATAAATACATAAATGGTCCATATAGTGAGCTTGGTGCCAAATTATTCACGTTAAGGTCACTGCAAAGGACAAGATGGCACTCTTTGCATCTGGAGGACAAGAGGTTTAACCTTTGCCTACAGAAAGGATTCTTCACAGTTAGAGCTGTGAAAATGTGGAACAGACTCCCCCAGGAGCTTGTTCTAGCTAGCTCAGGTAACTGTTTTATAAAAAAAATCTGGATGCATTCCTAAATGCACAGAATATTACTGGATATTGAGTTCTTATAGGTACACTAAGCACCAGAGATTGTTGATCCAGGAAATATCCGATTGCCTTATGGTATCCGGAAGTAATTTTTCCCCCCTGTTGGAGCAAATTGAAACAAGCTTTATAGGGGTTTCATTGCTTCCTCTGGATCAACAGTGGGTAACTGTGGGCATAGCGTTCTGTTTAGGCTGTTTTTTTTTTCCATTTTTCATATCTCTATATGTTGAACTCGATAGACTTGTGTCTTTTTTCAACCTGACTAACTATGTAACTATGTAAAAAAAATAAAAAAGGTGTTATCCCAATTTGGCTGCAAAAGTAAAAATACACATTAACCCCTTCGTGACTGACGCCAGCATCGGGGCTGTTTAAACAGACTCCCGGCGACTTTTGCCGCCGGGAGTCTGTTTAAATTTGTAGAGCCGACTAAAAAAAGGGCCTCAGTCATGAAGGGGTTAAGGACCCAACTGATAAATGATTGGAAGCCCTTTCTGAAGCTCTGTTCTCGTTGGTATGTCCTGCCATTCATCTGAATCTGGCTGTGATCCAACTTTGTCAAACCTTTGTCAAACCGGTCAAAAGCACTTAAAAGAGACCCGACTTCTGCTGCTTCTTGTACAAAGCATGGAGCAGATTGCTGTAGCAGTAAATTTCAGCTGTGACAGTTTGCTGGAAACATCCCGTCTCCTTTCATGCATTTGTCAGGTCATATGCATAGGGCACTATGACTGGACTAAACTAAACTATGTAAAAGTGCTAAATCCTCATGGTATTTAAGGGACATAATCTCTTTGGACCAACTGTTGTCATCAACATCATCAAGGGTGCTACTGGGGGCAGTGGCAGAGCTAAGGAACAAAGGTGCCCCCCCCCCCCCACAAAAAAACCAAAA